GAAGAATCCCTTGGTGGTAGGGGAAAGAGATGAGGTTCAAGATGCTGTGAGTGGACTGGCTGCTCTGTTCTATTAGTTGTGGAGGGCTGTGTGCAATGGCGGTCTATTCCTCCCCAAAGCAGAGAGGCAAGGAACAGTTAGGAGTCTGCAGGTGCATCTCAACTGCCACAGCACCTCTCAGCCTTGGAGTCTCTCATGTGTACAGTATGTACTTCCTTTAAAAAAAATCAGATAAACAATATCTTTAAAAAGTCAACCAGTGTCTTTCCACCTGACCCTGCTCTCTCCTGTTACTGAGGATGACCTCAGAGATCTTAAGCAGTCTCTGAAAAAGTGCCAGGCCTGGCAGCAAGGAAGTGAGGATGTGGCAGATTTCTGATCTTGCCCTGGACATAGTAGCAGCTACCTTCTGAGAGCCAATACAAGAGGATTTTTAAAAGTTCTCTGGGCTTGAATATGCCCACTGGTTTAAGAAGCTTCATTTCCAGATGGGTTCAGTGTCACATGCCTGTAATACCAGAAGCTAGGAAGGCTGATGCAGGAGGATCCTGAGTTCAAAGCCAGCCTCAGCAACTTAATGAGGCATCAAGCATCTCAGTGAGGCCCTTTCTCTAATTATATATATATATATATAAAAGGCTGGGGATGTGACTCAGTGGTTAAGTGCCCATGAGTTCAACCCCCAATATCTCTTCCCCCCAAAGTGCTTCATTTCCAGATATTCTTGGTAAAATCTAGAGTGCAGTACAGAAATGAATCCAATCAGGTGACTTTAGCATGTACATGAGTAGGTCATAGGATAAGCAAGAATGGGGCACAGTATACAAGTATGATGGCAGAGTCTATGGCCCTGCTCTGGTACAAAGGGTAAGGTCAATAGTATGGGCAGGAAGGGGGAAGGGACACGAGAGGCCCCTCCTCCAAGTTGGATGTTCTCTCTGAACTCCTGTGGCATTGCATCTGTACCTCTGTATCTCTCATCCTATCTGTGTGGGTGGGAGTTGGTCTGGCTCATCTTTATCTCCTTAAAAGGGCCTGGTCGATGCCATGTGCTAGAGCAACGTTTTTCAGTAATTAGAGGTCTCTGGAGCTAAGCTGGCAGAATTCTGAGTTTCCCAAATGTTCTTTCATTTCAATAGTGAAGAAACTAAGGTGAAGTACTTAAATCTTTATTTATCCAACAAATATTTGTTGAGAACCAACACACTGTTATGAACACTGGAGATAGAGATAAAAATCTCCGCACTTTTGAGTCTTACATCCCAGTGAGGAGACAAGCTAAACAAATGAAGGTGTAAATTGCAAAGGAGGTCAGACAGTAATTGGTACTGAGGAATGGCAAGCAGGGAGGGGGCCTCTCTGATGATGATACTTTGTATCAGAGAACCAAAGGAGAGAGGGAGCCAGCCTTGTGGGATATGGCAGCTGGTGTCAGGAAGGGCAAGGACCTGGCAGGGTGTCACCCAAAGAACAGCATGAAAGCCATGACATTCTGAGATTTGTCCAGGTTTAGTCCACACAAAAACTGAGTACCAGAACTCTATGCCTCAGCAGTTTTTTATTTCATAGGCATTGTGAAATTTATAACTCTTCAGGTTTTACTTCTTTTTCCCTTCTAAGTCTCTTTTTAAAAAAATCTTTGGTTTGCAAGTGGAATCTAAGTTCTTAATATGCTTAGTATTTATTATTCTAGGTTAATAATTTCTTTTGTTTAGTTGTAGATGGACACAATACCTTCATTTATTTTTATATGGTGCTGAGGATTGAACCCAGAGACTCACATGGGCCAGGCATGTGCTCCACCACTGGGCTACAACCCCAGCTCCCATTTTTCTGATATAAGGTCTATTTTGTCCAGACTGGCCTTGAACTCCTAGGTTCAAGTGAGCCTCCTGCTTCACCCTTCTGAGAAGCTGGTACTATAGGTGTGCACTGCTGTATCTGACTTAATAATTTCTAAGCGCACAATTCAGTGGCACTAAGTACATTCAGTGTTATTTGCAAGTGGAACCTACTATGTGTCTACTTTATTTCACTTAGCATAATTCTTTAAAGGTTCACCTATATTGTTATCTTGTATCAGAATTTCATTCCTTTTAACCGATGTACTGTACATATAGATGTTATTTACCCATTCATCTGTCAATGGACTCATGAGTTGTTTTCACCTTTTGACTATTGTAAATAATGCTCCCATGAACATTGGTGTACAAATACCTGAGTCTCTGAGTATTAATCTAGAATTTCTAATCATATGGTAATGCTGTTTAACTTTATTGAGGAACCACCAAAGTATTTTCAACAGTGGCTATACAATTTTACATCACTAGTAGCAATTCACAAGGTTTTTGGTATCTAGTGAATAGAGGCCAGAGATGCTACAAAACATCTTACAATGTATGGGATAGCCTCCTGCAACCAAGTTATTTGGCCCCGAATGTTAATATTGCCAAGGTGGACAAATCTTGGATTACAGCTATTCTGTCATATTTCATGAATCAAGTCCATAAAATCATTCTGAGCATAAAGCAGAGCATATTGATCTTTTGCTTCTGAATTAAATGATAGTTTGTTTTTTTTACTATTACTAACTCTATATGCATGTCCAAATCACATATATTTGAATGTATTTATTGAATTAGGTGCTAATTAATTTAATAGTACAATGTGAGATGAAAACATTGTTATTTTTAAATGTAAATCTTCTATAAGAACAAGCATTATCTGTGTTTTGCTGCCCCTCCCCTTTTAAAGATGAACAATTTAAGGAAACAAGTTCTTACAAAATGGAAAACTTTAATTGTTTAAAGCAAAGGCACAAGTAAACATTTCAGGTTATTATACAATGTTACAATAAAAAATTCCAACAGTAAAATGAAATACACTATAACTTTGCATCTCTTAAGTATATTGAATGTATTATTCTATCATCTCTTCTTTGGAGTGAAAAGAAGGGATAGGTAGATCAATGGATGTGATGTAAAAACTTGGATTACAAATAGTATCCACTCTACTTTCAACCAGAAATTTTAATTAATTCGGTACAAAAAATTAAATTTAAGTGGATTAATTTTAAAAGCGTAAGTTTTTCGTTAATGTAGAGCAGCAATAACTTTCAAGCTAAAACTCTTTGTTTTAATAAGTAAATCTTTGATTTCACAAAATGTTAACCTCCAAAGCCTAGTACTATACAACAATCAAGCTAGTCATGAAAGAGCTTTAACATAATTCATACACTTATTTTACCTTAAATATGAATATTACAATACATTATGTAAATGACAAATGAGGAACCAAATGATTTCTTATGATGTCAGAAATAATATATTTCAAAAGATCTAAATCTTATTTTCAATCAAAGGCACTGTCTGGAGAGTAACAAGCTGCATTATGTTCAGAGCTAAGAAAAAGCTTTTTTCAGTTAGTTGGAACTTGATGTCTCAATTAGCAAATAATGAGTGTTTACTATCAAGGAGGAAAAATAATAGAAATTGTGTAAAGTTACATCTTTGACTTCTTTTGCCAAGAAGAAAGAGTTCATAGGTTGGGCTGGGGATGTGGCTCAAGCGGTAACGTGCTCGCCTGGCATGTGCGGGGCGCTGGGTTCAATCTTCAGCACCACATAAAAATAAAGATGTTGTGTCCACCGAAAATTAAAAAATAAATATTTTAAAAAAATATCTCTCTCTACCCTCTCTCTCTTTWAAAAAAAAAAGAGTTCATAGGAGCATGCTACCATGCCTGGCTGTTTCATTATTCAATGCAATTTCCACTTTATTCAGATGACCTATGGCCTCTACTCTCAGCATATCAACCCACAGTGCCAAAGATATCAGGAAGGTAATTATCCTAAAGAGGCAAGTTTTTCCATTGTAATTTGATTTACAAAATAGGAGAGATTAAATAAAATCTATCAGGGAATATGGTCCAATATCTCAAAAGTCTTGAACATACTAAACACTAATTTGAATAAAACGGAGTCAAATTAAGACATAGTATCCTATTGCATCCTAAATGTCAGGAAGATTTTAAATTCTTCTAAGATGTTTTTGAATCAAAGTTTTTTTTTTTTGTTGTTTTTTTTGGTTTGGAGATAGAGTCTTGCTACATGGCCCAGGCTGACCTTTGACTCCTGGACTTCGTCAGGTGACCCACCACCTCAGCCTCCAGGGACTACTCCAGGTATACACTACTGCACCTGGCTTGAATTAAAGGCCTTAAATGAGAAGAATGTTGTTTCTAGTTTTGCATGGTCCAAATTAGAAGAGCATCAACAGAATAATGTTTACTTATCCTAATTCTTTTAACACCTAATTCTAACCACAAAGAGTACTTATGAAATTCTTTAGAATATCTTTCAAAATGTGACTCTAGAAAGATGTCCTATTTTAAAATTAAATTGTAACATTTCTCAGTGAAGCATACCCTAAAAATATTAATGATACATATTTCAAAGAATACTGCTGGGATTCTGGAATTCATTCCTTTCTTTCTCCTCTAAAGTTTCAGGTATTCTTCAAAAATTTTCTATGGAATCATAGATTATCATATAAGATAGCTGGTATACTTTTCAATTTGAATAGTTGTGGAACAAAAGATCCACCAGAAAATTTTATGTTTCTAAATCATTACCTCAACAGAAAAGAATATGGTTTGATCTTCTATTAAGCCAAACTAAAGAAGCAGCCTAACATTTTGGAGTATCTAGATCGAGTTTTTTTTCTGTAAAGGGCCAGAAAGTAGATATTCTATGCTATGAGGATCCATGATCTTCACTATAACTATTTCAACTCTGCCATTATAGCCATAAAAAAATGGCTGGGTATGGTGTCTCATGCTTGTAATCCCAGGAACTTTGGCAGCTGAGGCAGAAGAATTGCAAGTACCAGGCCAGCCTCAGCAACTTAGTGAGACCCTGTCTCCTTTAAAAAAAAAAAAAAAAAAAAAAGTGTTTATGTGTGGGTTACCAGGAATGCAGCTCAGTGATAAAGTGCCCCTGGTTCAATCCCCAGTACTGCAAAGAAAAGAAAAATATGGCAAATGGATAAGGATAGCTGTGTTCCAATCAAACTTTACGTATGTACACTGAAATCTGAATTTCATACTACTTTTATGTGACATAAAATATTATTCTTTTGAATTTTCCCCAACTAAAGTAAAAACTGGAAGATGACTAGAATTAGCTTGCAGGCTATACTTTGCTGACTCTTCGTCTAGATTATTCAGATTTCTTGATGTGGGGGTCAAGGCAATAATATGACCATGACTCATCTCTCTTCACTTGGGTATTGAAACCTTCTGGAATGATAGTATAGACCCCAAAGAAGAATCCCCAAAGCTTTAGGATTTTAGGAATAATACCAATTCTAGGAGTGGTATCTATACTCATAACTGTAGGGCTTATGAGTGCTGATATTCATGTATGTCTATAGGTATGCATATTCAAAAATATACAAATCTATTAAATCACTTAAATCATATTGTCAGAAAAGCAGAAAATTGAGAAATTTATTAGCTGGACCACTTTAAATGCTTTAGTGTCAGAGAGATCTGGATTAAAATCTTGGCTCCGTTAATTATTAGCTTGTGACAAGAGGTAAAATTACCTAACCATTAGAATTTAACTTGGTTCAATGGACTCAGAAGGCATGTTTTCAATTGCATTTCTCAGGCAAAAAAATAGCTATTTTCCTTGCTAGAAAAGCCTAGTCCACAATGTAACTTAAGGCTTAACTTCTGGTTTTAGACAAAAACTACTTTTGTCTTTTCAAGTCCATTCCATCATATTGTGCAAAATTGTCCTTCCACACTACTGATTTCTACTTTCCTCTCATCCTCTATGGCTATTCCTTTCATAGGCTGCTAATAAAAATGAGAGTGGAAAGTATCCAGTCAATACATTCTTTCTGTCTTTCCACAGGTAAGTGTAATTTGGATAGTTCTTCTAATTTATCAATGACAGGCATTCAGTTTTCTAGGAAAAAGTCTAAATGGTAGAAAAGGAAGAATTAGTAGGATTTGTATGGCTTCATCTATTATTTAGAAACTAGAGAATTTGAAGATAATGTTCATAGATTATTTGCAGATATAATTGCTTTGCATCTTGGACCTTAGTCCACTGCTTAAATTATATTAAGTAGAATATCAGCATAAGTAATATGTGCTATAACCTCTTTAATCATGAAAAATGTATTAGTTAATATACATGAAGTAAAAGATTTCAACAATAGTGTTTCTGAACAGGCATCAGTTATGAATATGCTAGTGTTGAATGCTAAGCAAAATACTAAAACTATTAAAATATTAGTGTCTGGTTTTCTTTTGACCTACTATGTACAGAAGTTCTGTGAGGATGCTGAAAGAAGTCATTCTGCAATATGATATTCCTCATGTAAAATAATATTTGATGTTGGATATACAGATTCATAAATATGTACAAATTAACAATATATTTATAGTTAACTTACTACTTTTACCAATMACTGACACATGGAAGCCTCCATATGCACATAAAAGTTAGAAATTAAAACAAAACTTTAAACTCTGAAAATAGTTAACAATTTGTTTATAAAATTATATAGGAAAAAAGGCTTTGTGTTTAAGAACCTCAGTGGCTCACTAATAAAATAGTAATTTTAGTGGCCAAAAAAAAAAAAATCCCCAAAACACAAAAATACAATATCAATCAGATATATGTCTTGGTCAAATGTCTGCAAATAGCCTTGAAAACAAATTGATAAACAAATATACAATTTGTTCACTGAGCATAAAGTATTGCACAAGAACAGTTTTATCTGAAGAAAATTCAATTTTCCATAGTTTTGAACTTCAAAATGGTTCCCACATTTAGATAGTTACATTTTCTAAACAAGAAACATTAATGTTCTTTAATACTGTTAGAACCTTATTTTACCCATTAACCATATTCCAGTCAACTTTATGGCAATGGAAAATCAGTGGTGAAGATTTGGCAAAGATAAAAAAAAGGCAGATAAGATTGTAAAATGTATATATGTGTATATATATACATATATATATATATGTACATATGAAACAGATAAATCCAAAAAATCCCTAATCATAGGACAATTGGATCCCTTAAAGAAATCTGTAGTCTGGGTCACAGTGACGGTCAGACAGTGGTTGAGTGTGACTCTCTTCGTGGGGGCCGCTCCTCTTGGATCCTTCGGTGACTCTCCCTGTTCTCCAGCACACTGTCTTCTGTTTCACTTTCACTACCATCTGCCACAGTGGGGTCCAAAGACATTGGGCCTGATTTTCTGTGCAAGGGAAAACCAATGCCACTTTCCTGTAAGGAGTTATCTATAAAATCTTCATCTGAGGAATGGAATGATTCATCATCTCCTATTAAATGGTTGACAATGTGAATTCCATCAAAAGGAGGTTGGCCTGAGAAGCCCCTCTGGCCTTTTAGGCACCTGAGCTGTTAAAACAAAACCCAAATTAATTTACTCAAATGGAGGAAACACACACATAAGTCAATAAAATAAATGTTTCATGTTTAACAAACAAAATATCTTGATCTTTTTCTATTTATAGACATAATAATTATTACCAGTTTTTTTTTTTCCAGTGCTGGGGATTGAACCCAGGGCCTCACACATGCTAGGCAAATGCTCTAACACTGAACTACACTCCAGCCCCCCACATTGCCATTTTTTGAGTGCCTTCTATGTGTTATGTAATTCACATATAACTTACTTTAATTGAAGCACCACAACAATCCTATGTGATAGATTTTATTATCCCAATTCTACGAATTAGGAAATGGAGAATTAGAGTAGCTTGCTAATGTCAGATACCTAATAGCAGAGTTTAGATTCAAACTATCCCTTCACTATATTAGAGATAATATAATTAACTCCCAAGTACCCATTACCTAACTTCAACAACCTTCACATCATGAACAATCTGGTTTCATTTTCCAGATTATTCTGAAATAAGTCCCAGACAGCCTATCAATTCACCTATAAATATTTTCACTGTATTTCTAGAAAATATGAACTTAAAGACCAAGCTCTTATTATATATCACATACTCTGTCTTGAGAATATGTCTCCATAATTCTGTAAATGATGAAAATTATTTAGAAATCATTAAAATTTGCTAAGAGTCTCCATCCTGTTACAATACCCCAAAGACCACAACACTATCACTCACAGTTAGGGCAGGAAAACTGCTTCCCATTCAGTGTTTCCTGCTGCATGGCGTGAATGCCAGTTATGGATAACATTTCTGCTTTCTCTCCTCCCTCCTCCCCAGGGAGGAACTTGTCTCTCCAGGGAGCAGGGAGAGGAATGGTACATATCACACAGCTCTTTTTTCCCCTTTTTCTTTCTTTGGAGACCAGACTCTGTTCCTCTATCCCTGGAGTTTAACAGGACATACCCTCATTGAGGAGGTCAAAGTACTGGGTGGGCAAATCTGATAATCCTAGAGTTCAGTATTGGAACAAAGCTAAATCTAAACCACATTCTCCAAAAGCAATTTTATCAGGATTAAAGATGGTTTTTTTTCATCATCTGCCATGTCTTTACCTAAATTCCTCAAACCCCAAACTTACCACCATGGATACTATTATTTCCACTAACATATAATTAAGAGACCAGTTCTGTCCTCAAGAGTTTATGTTCTAAATATAAAGTTTAATTTTGATATTTTTCACTTGTTTTATTGCTCCTATACACCATGAACTTTCTCCCACAACAAAGCAGAATTTTAAAAAAAAAGCTACCAAATATCTTGACTACTATTAAAGATCTTGCTAAAATATACTCCATCTGTCTTACCTTTATGATTATTATTGACCCTCATTCTTGTTTCTCAGGGACAAAATCTTAGTCACTATCTTTCAAATCTTAAGATAAAGGCAATATGAAATATTCAGGAAATATTACATATACTTTCAAAACTAACGGTTCTGAGAGTAAAGACATTACAGCCTTGCTATAACACCTTCCAGCTTTCCTGACAGACTTCCAGGAAGAAGTGAAGCAACCTCAGCATTTCTCTGCTTGCATGTGACAACAGGACACAAGAGATGCAAGGGCTCAGTAATGACAAGTGACCCAGGCAGACCCTCAGCCATAAAGAAATTCTCCTGCCCTGAACCAAGAGAACAAACTTATAGTGAGGTACAATGAAATTGAAATACCACTCTTTTCTCCTTGGCAAAACAGAAAAGATCTAAATTCGGAGTTGAATTTTTAGAAAAATGGCACAGAGCACCACAAAGACCTCTCTCAAGGTTGTGATACCAATGGCATCATTACAACTGCCAAGTCTGATGCAACATCCTATATTCACCATATTGCAACACATGATTTATAGCTCCAAATGTTAAATTAAAGTCAGTTAATCTCTTCCTTTCTCTTTCCCCCCTCCATCACTTCTTCAGAAGTGTTTACTTCTGAAGAAATATTATGGAACACATGCCTTCCTTCTGTCTGGCTGTTATAAAGGAGTATGGCAGAGAAACCCCAACTTCCCAGTTGTTTGGAAAGCTGTGGCTTTCCTTTGTTCTAACAAAATTTATCGGAATTAAAACTAGTCAGTCTCAGGGCTGGGACTGTAGCTTAGTGGCAGAGCGCTTGCCTAGCACATGTGAGGCACTTGGGGTTTGATGCTTAGCACCACATAAAAATAGATAGATAGATAAATGGATAGATAGATAAAATAAAGGCATGCTGTCCATATGCTGTACAATTGTAAAAAAATTAAAAAACAAAAAACTAGGCAGTCTCTTGCCAGATGTAATTACAGAAAGTTAACTATAAGTTGAGGGATAATTTTCTTAACACCAAAGGAGATGCCTCTTTATTTGAGAACTGATAATATACCAAAGGCAGAGATATTTTTTGGTGAAAGAAAGAAAAGATGAAAATAAGGGACTATCTGGTAAAACTGAAGCTATCCGGTGAACTCAGGTATGTGCACACACTGGTTTTGGTGAGGGAGGAGACCTATATAGGCCCTGAAAGCAGGCATTTGGGCAGAGAGTTCCAGGGTACTGAGTATGGTCATCCTGAATACCTGTGAATATACATGTTGCACTGCTTATCTTTATTACCAGTCTTTTAGAAGCTAATTATATTTAAAAACGGACAATCTTCCCAAACCCTTCTCTTCCTCTCTTTCTTACAAAAAACCAAAACCTTCATGGTATTATGGACAACAAACTTAGGTTCAAATATTTTATATAATCCACTGATCACCTACATCAGAACTGAGGATACCTGTTAAAAATGTAGTCTCCTTCTCCAGATTTAAGGAATCAAAATTCTAGGAGTGAAACTCCAGAATCCACATTTTACAAGCATTTCAGGGGATTCTGATATACTCTGAAGTTTGAGAATCATTGTGGAGGTTGGGGGTATGGCTCAGTGATAAAATTCTTGCCTAGCATGCATGAGGCCCTGAGTTTGATCCTCAGCAGAGAGGGTAAAAATAACAGAATGGTATACCTTCTGTTCAAACCAAATGAGAATAAGATAGTAAGTAGATGATTTATATTAAATGGAATTCTTAATTATTCAGGACAAAAGTTTCTGAAGGACGACTATCCATTTCATATGTGTCTGGTATATACAAGTGGATGCCATTTTTCCAGCAGCAAAATCAAGCTGTTCTGGGCCAATCTGACCACCTGGAGGTCAGCACAAGAAACACTTTGTTTAAATAATGTTCCTGGAACTTACTCTTCCTGGCATAGAGGGTAGGGTTTAGGAATGTGTATGTTCAAAAAATCTGAATAATTCTGCTGCATATCCCAGGATAAGGACCATTTCTCTTGGCAATATTTTTTGTTTATTTTGTGGTTTTGTTTACCTCTTTTGGGTCAATTATGGGACTGAGAATCTGATAAAAGCTACTGACACTCTGTCTTAAAAAGAAAACACATAATTTAGCATGCTATTTTGATGCTCATTGTCTATCCTAATTTTTAGATAAACACTACAGGAATATCTTCATGACACTTAGCAACAACAGAAACTCTTGTGAAATGCCTATAATACGTTCATATCATTGAAAAAGAAAAAATATATTTCCAGGTGAATTAGACATAGATCCAAGAGCTGCCAAGGAAACAAGCACCACGATTCTCTGGAATTGTAAGTACAGGAATTTCTCTCTGAAGAGAATCTTGGGACACCCCAAAGGACGGTTGTAGCTAGACTGCCCTACAATAAAGACCATGGGCAATAGTCCTACCCAAAGATTCAAGACTTCCTGTCAGCTTTTCAGTTACCCAGCCTTTAAGTCTGAGCAGAAAATCCCATATTGAGGAAAGAGACTATCTTAGGAGAAGGACAAATTAAAAAAAAATTTTCTTCCCTATGAAAACACTACATACAAAGAAAATAATGAATAACTGTCAAAAATAATCTTCACTACATTTTTAGTTTTATTATAACCTTTACTTTTATTTACTTATTTTGTGGTACTAAGGATTAAACCCAGAGGCCCTCTACCACCAAATCATATCCCCATCCTTTTTGTTTTGAGACAGGGGCTCATTATCATTACAACATTCTAGTGTATCTTTCAAGATAATTTTTCTAACCTTACTTTTCAAAAAAAAGTAAGATTGGTCACTTTCCTTTTTGTTTTGTATCCTGCTTTTTCACTTATTATCACAAACATTTCTCAGTATCATAATCTGTTGGCTGCACAGTGTCTCATTTGCAACCACAGCATCACCTGCTTAGCCAGTCCTCTTGTTGGGATATTTAGGTTTATAGCCTACCCGTTACAAACAGCACTGCCACCAACATTTAGAAATAAAAATTTTAACCTTTATTTTATTTATTTCTTTTTATGTGGTGCTGAGGATCAAACCTAGTGCCTCACAAGTGCTAGGCAGGTGTTCTACCACTGAGCCCCGCTACCAGCATTTCTGAAGACACAGCTCTGCAGAGTTGCCTTGTAATTTATGATGTACAACCAGAAGTATAGAATACAGCTAAAGACTTCAACATTCTTAAGAAGTTTGATTTCTTATGGTTAAACTTCCCTCCAGAGAGGTTGCAAGAATTCATATGCTGGAAAAAAAGTTTTTATTTGGTAATCAAGCAAGTGAAAAATTTTAGTTTTTATTATGGAATATTTTTGAAAATAGACAGTAGTGTAGCTAACCCCATGTTGCCATCATCCAGCTGTCACAATTGTCAAATTATGGCCACTTTTGTTTCAGCATAACACACTGCCCTTCCAACCCTGGATTACTTAGAAGGAAATGAAAAAGGATTTTTGTGGTATATGTGCTGGAAATAGAACTCAGGGACTTGTGTATAATAAGCATAAGCCCTATCACTCACTGAGGTATACTCCCAGCTTAAGTAAAAAAAGTTTTTAATTGTAACTTTGGCCTGTTGAACTGAAAATTAAAAAAAAAACTGTATTATAGAACCTAAATTCATCCTT